AACGAAATTCTCAATCGTACCACGCACGAAGAAGGCGATGTAGCTCAGAAAATAGATATGAAATGATAAATAAGACTTTAATAAGAACAGCAAACTTTAAGACATCTTGGCTGTGAACAACAAGCTTTTGAATACATGACTAGTTTTGCTGTTCAAAGATTTTGATAAAGCCCTTTCAAAATACTGTTTGTTTGATTTATTTTTTGCCATAAAGCATAAAAGAAAAGAGATTCGAAGCCAAGCTTTCCAAGCTTTCCCAAGCTTGCCAAGCTTTCGCGCCTTTAACTCATTCTCATCCGGTCGAAAAGTACCAATTTTGAGCGGTGTTGTTTCAAACGCTTATATCTCTCAAATTATACATCGCACGGAAACAGAAATCGCATCGTTCGAAAGAGGAGGACTTCCGCTTTCCAACAATACCAATTTCAATTTGATCCGGAGCTTGGTTAACGATTTACTCGCATAAATTTGCATAAATTATGATATAAAAAAATGTTGCAATTATGCATAAATGTATTTACCCAGCTAACACATTAACGTTTTAACAACGTCGTAACAACGTTGGACTTACGTTGTCAAAACGTGATAAAACGTTGTCAAAACGTAAATTTGTAGACAGCAGAAAACGTTGTCACAACGTTGTGGTTAAGTTAAATGCAACATTTTCGCAACGTTGCTACAACGTTCTGACATGACGTTGTCACAATGTTGTGAAATGACGTTGGGAAAATGTTGTGAAAACATCGTGTTGTAACGTTGTCACGTCATTTTTACGTGACAGCAAAAAAATATTGTCGCGTTGTGTACGGCAAGATATTAATAGCATGATAACAATTGTCGGAAGGGTCTTTTCAATCCTTTAATTTGTTACTGATTTATTTATGCAACAAAAAGCTTTTCTGCAATTTACTATCGTATATGGCTGTCATATGTAGACCTAAGCTTGTTAGAGTAAATCATTCGACACATATACTGTATGTCGGTATGTATAATATGCTTTTTACTGATCTAATATATCTAGCTGTGACTCGAAATGGAAAGTTTATCCAAAAGATACAAGAAACATGGAGTGTACTGACTAAAACGACACATACAATGCATTTTAAATAAAATCCTTTAATTTATTCTGACATACAGTATGCTACATTTATACAAGTCTAAAAACAAAACATAATTCCTATTAAATATTATCTCTCTCTTTCTCTTGAGACTCGTCCACGACCTATATGAACAAAAACGTATTAAACAATATCTAGATGTATACGATTTAGCATATATTCGGGAGGTGGGTAGTGCCAAAACATCGCGTCTTTGCGATTATTCTTGCACCATTCACCTCCACTTCGGTGAATAATTGTTAAATATATACACGCATGCGTGCACACACGCACACGATATATCACAGAACGTATATCATGACTTAGTAATGTAGGTTACACTGTAAACAAAATGCTAAATTTACCCGATATCTTGAACCACCAGGCTTGTTTGGAGCATGCTTCAGGGTCTCTGAGATGTGCTCTTCAACACTGAGTTTGGTGGCTTTCTGGTGGCTCCTCATACAGGCCTCTGAAAAATATACCAATATTATTAGTAAGGCGATTGCACTAGCTATTAGTTAACTGGTTTTCTTCTTCACAATACAACATCTTCAGAGCATTTAAATGAATTTTAAATAATTTTAATTCATAAAAATAATTAAAAATAAAAGAGAAAAGTCATTGTTATACATTTAAACTTCATTCTATCTTTTATTGGTTGATATTCGCCAGTTATAATACAAATATTTATAAAGAACTGGGCAGAGGACTAGAAATATTATTATAATATTGGGCTGGTTAATCCATAATATCATGCTTTACATATACTCCAATCTTCGTTTAATGCTAACTATATATACCAAATGAATGATGAGTATTACTTACTTATAATTATATTGCACAACTTCAAACTTTTAAAAGCTTGTTTTCCTTTCCGGCCTTTAAAACTAAATAAGGACCACAGCTTGTTTGTCCCAAGCTTTGCCATAATTCGGCGAACAGTGTCCCCACAGGTGTGTCCACATTGTGCCGCGAGATAATTCACCTTTAAAGAAAAAGAGATAAGTTAATTTAATTTTTACAATAGAAACTAAACTACTGTTGAGATACATTAAGAATCCAATATTCCCTATCAGAGAAGTCTAAACAAAACTAACTGTACTACAGTACACAATGAATGCGTAATGTGTGCATTCAGAATAATTCAATAATTTGGTCTCGTCATCCTGAAAAAAAATATGAAAATCTTGAGTGCACAGCAGGAAAAAAGTAGTACCAAGTTACATAAGTGACATGTTTATATTAAAGTCGACAGTCACTAAACGAGTTACCAGAAGCTCTGTGGGCAATGATCTGTGTATACTGTGAACAAAACTAACAGTTAGACAAAAAGCTTTGCCATACATTGGCGCAACTTTATACAATAGTTTGCCACTTGAGATAAGGCAATCAACTTCTCTCAATAGCTTTAAAATAAGAGCTTATAGCCACTTTTTAGATAAAATTATAACGTAGTTCAAGTTCTTTGAATTTGTAATATTGTACTAGTTTAATATACAATATTAATTTGTAATTTTTAATATGTAGTTGATAGGATAGAAGGCCCAGTGTAAGATTAGCTCTGCTAAACTGGTTTGTGTTGCACCTTCTTTAAATAAAGTTTATTATTATTATAATTATTATTATTATTATGTATCAATATTATGTATCAATATAAAGCCATACTCAAATATATCAAATTTAGGTCAGGCGGTTCAGGGTAAAAACCGAAAACTGTCTGAAAAACTCGACGAAACCGATTTTTTAAACATATTTGCTACAGTTAGCTTCTTAACTTTTTAACTATAGTTTCGAATACAGTTGTATTATTTTTGTAGTACTCTCTAATTTTTTAAGCCATAAGCCACCGTTATACGCCCTATTATCTCGTGTTATTATGATTTGAAAGTTGAAAATTTTGTCGGAAAATATCAAACTAATATTTACATAGATCTAATATGAATACCTATTACCCTACCACGTGCACTAGTATTTATATATTAATTGTAATTAAGCTCTACATATTTTCGCAATGAGTCATGCGCGTCATCCTGTCTTTGTAGACGTCAACCTCATACCCTGGGTCTTACCTTCGCAGATGTCTGCTTTCTGAACAAATTATTCAAGCGTGTGATGCGCTTACTTGATATTTGCGGCAATGCTTAACAATTTTGCAAATTTTTGGCAATATTCTACTGCAATTTTGCTTCAATATTACTGAGTTTCAAACATTTTTCTGATTATTAACGGTTTTTCGTCTAAGTAAAAATTGGTTGAATTGGTTTTCAAGAAAATCTTTTTTTTCCTGTTTATCGATAAACCGCCCGGCATGATATTATCAATGTATGCATGGTAAGTATCAAATGCATACTTGGGCAACCGATACTAATTGGTTAATGACAAAATCAACTGATATTGGTGCTCACTGCTGTTGATAGCCTGACAAGGTGACTGGTCAGCATATTTCGCCGGTTCCCAGCTCACATATTGTTTTTATATTTTTTCGAGGTTGTATTCAAATTCATTGTTGGGCTCATACAGTATGAAATCTATAACTGGGCTGGGAATCACATGTTACAATAATGTGTGCTTTATATATATACGATACATGACACATGTATCATTGAGTATTGACAACACTGGAAGATAAAACCTGTATCTTCAACTAGAGGTTGTGTATAATAAATGTCCTGTCTATTATATTAGAATAAATGAAATATCTTCACACGTGAAGCCAAAAGTGTGAAATGTGATCATATCCTTTGCATGTATTAATTAATAAAGATATCATTTAATATATAGTTGACTTCACATGTTTCTAAATACTGTTGGGTTTTTCATCGAACAAATACTGTTAAACTGGCTTATTAACTAACACTAGCTAACACAACGAAACACAAAACATATTGTAGCCCGAATGTGAGACGCCAAAAGTGGCAAAAACATTCCGAAATGTAGATTGTAGAATCATACACATGCACTGCAGCGCGTTGCCTATGGTCGAAAAGCGTCCAGTCGCTATAAAATACATATTTATCCCACAGAGATGCAACCCCCAGAGGCTCTTATAAATGCCTGCTAATGAGGACATCCTCAATAAAACACTATGACAGATTCGTATAGAGACAATCATAAATACCCACGGGAGAGTCGGGAATACACTTGATGACAAAGATCAATAATAAACATAATTTAGCCGCAATTAACGAAAACATGACAATACAAAGACAATAATATGATAATAAAGTAATAGTTGACTTACTTTCAAGTGTGGATTGATAATTCCAACAACAGGATTAATACGGATTCAATATTATAGAACAGCTCTAGACCAGAATACCAGATCGGACAATCGGAGAGAAACAGAGAACAGGAAGCCCTTTCATGTTGTCACGTTGCGTCATACGCGCGATGAAAGGGGGGGGGAGATCGAAATTGCAGGGGCATGTGTGCAGTGAACTCAATATAATTAACTGGAACAATAACATGCGAAGGGAAATAATAAAATTGCCATCACAATAAAATAGCATGATTGTTTAATTTCACAACAGTTCAGTTTGAAATAGATAAACAAACTCGAAATAAAGATACTATTCAGTTAGAATTATCCGATAACTTATACTACCACATATTTTTATGACTCTTACAAACTCTGGCTTTTAATTAATTAACCTTTCACAATAGACACAATATAACAATAAAGCCAATCTATAGATCTTTTCGCTCCTCCCCACAAAATTATCAATGCGTTTTTAATACAATTCACGCTTAACGTGCATATGAAAATTAAGCCGTTTTATTAAAATATTTTCTCAATGGCATATTGTCAGAATCAGAACATTGAGTTGTCAGGTATTTAGCTAAAGGCCGGCACACACTAGAGCTATATATGTGCTTAGCAAAATGTCACACGTGCCCAATGGCGTAAGGAGATAGCTCTCGTGTGCGGGCGATTTAAGTGGCACGAATGACAAAAGTCGTTCGTAAATCGCCCGCACACGAGAGCTATCCCCTTACGCCATTGGGCACGTGTGACATTTTGCTAAGCACATATATAGCTCTAGTGTGCACCGGGCTTAAGAGTTCAATTATCAATTTGCCAAGCTTAAATTGCCGTGTTTTAGAAACTTCCGACGTTATAGAAATTGTATAACCACGCAATGTTGTTTGTCAGTGTTGTAAAGGATACACTGCAAATTGTTGACACAAAAACAACGTTAAATAATTGTGTAGTTATTTGAAAATGACGTAGCAAAACACAGAATGTTGCTTCGCCGTTAAAAAATGACGTGGAATACCAACATTCCCACAACGTCTTGGCAACGTTGTGTAATGGTGAAAAAATGACGTTGTATACGAACGTTCTCACTACGTTGTTACAACGTTGTGTTCAGGCGTTAAAAATGACGTTGTATACAAACGTCTACAAAACGTTCTCACAACGTTTGCAAATAATACTCTGCGATTTGAATGTAGTATAGACGTTGTCACAAGGTTAGGTCCGACCTGACCAAAATACAACCTTTAAATAACGTTGCGACAACGTTATGTGTTAGCTGGGTAGTGGTTCATATTTCAAATATGTCAAAAAATTTTATGAGTATGACTGAAAGACACGGTTATGATCTACAAGTACCCGAAGTTTCATGCATGTAGCATAAATAGAAATATTTTTATTGAATTTTTATATAAACTAGGTAGTGGAGTAAAATTTACATTTTGTGCTCACATGAAACAAATACCTTTATCAAAGGTCCTTTTTTATTGCTGCAACATGTTATCAATACAAATTTCCAATATTTCTTACTCTCCAAAGATAGTATGGCACCAAAATAAGTCTGTGATACCCACAAAAGAACACTCAAATCATGATTAGCAAAATGTCTTTATTTCTACAATTACTACATACATTCTTAGATAATCATTACACCATTGACTTTAGTTATTAGTGGCATAACCAGCCTCAAAATTGGGTCATGCTATTCAAATTTGAAATAATCACTACTCATTTGTTTAGAAATTGATTGTTTTCACAATCTAGAACATGAAAATATTTGCAAATAGCATGACCAAGTGTTGTTGGGCTGGCATCATCATAATTAGTAGTTATAAAAAAGTAATGTTTTCCAAGGCAGTAATGTTTGCTAAAGCAGTAATGTTTGCCAAAGCACATAATTGGATTATGTGGTGAAAATATTTCCTTTATATTGTACTACAAAAGACCTAAGACTGTAACCAAACTGATATCAGATCACCACGTCATACCCAAATCTGTTGCGATGAATATCTGGACTTCTTCCTGTATAAATTTCAAAGTCGCAATATAACCATTAGGATTGTCTGCAGCAACCCACAGATTTATTCCCCACATAGTAGGTCATCTAGCTTTCATGAACTGCCTAACCCCCAACCTATTTCTTGATTTGACAGTGTGTTTGTCTGCAACAACAATATTCTGTGACGGCTGGTACAGTTGTTGATGCAGTTTATTGCTGTAGTCTTTAGTACAAGATCTACCATATTCACAAACGCCATAAGCGCTTTGTACCTAACCCGAGAAATTATGTCTATTGCCCACAGACCATGATATAAGGTTTTTACACTCCAATAATTTTCAATCTCACTGTCGACCTTTAGCAAACCTGCATATTATACTAAAAGGCAATCAACCTCTCAAGGTTGGTGGACTGCAAGACCCTTTTTTATTAGTATATGGGGATAACTTTTGAGTTATTTGTATGTGGGCATATGTACTGGTATGGCCAGGAAACTACCTCCTGAAGCATTCCCTTAGTAAAAAAGAGTCGAATGAACTCAAGCTCACAGTTCATTGAGCCGAATGAACTCAAGCTCACAGTTGATCGAAATGGATCCTGGACATGTCAGTGAGGAGCAAAATCTGGGAGAACATTCCTGGTGTCAGGATCATCATATCCGTCATGTACTATGGGGCCTAGTGGGGATGCTAGACAGGGAGCTTTCGAAACCTTAGGTCCTAATGGCTGGGCTTCCCTCTACCTCTACTCATCCCCCTACCTTCCCTCTGGGTTGGTGAGTGGGGTTCTCATGACTCATCAGAACTCTACTTCCCTGAGGCTATGAAACAGGAACAGGATCAATATATTCATCAGTGCGAATAAAAACTTTTATAGACATGGTGCCATATAAAATTATAAAAAGAGCCAACTAGTAAGATATAAGTATGAATACTTGGCTATTATGTATGTAACAAACAACCAAACATGTGCTCAAGGCTCATTTTACCTCGCCTAGGAATCAGAGATTTTTATGCCTAAAACACCATAAATTTTCGTCAACAATATAAATAAATACCATTTATATTTGTCAATTTCAGTATGAAACGATTATTTCAACACAAAAAAGCGATATGAGGACATACTTGGTCGTACTAGTGAAGCTATACTAAATACAAATAAATTTACAATGCCATGGCAACGGCAAAACATTGAAATTGTCTAGAAATGATACAAATACTTGCCTTGAAACTCCAGACACGACTCCCAATGCCAGGTTGAGATACTTGTCTTCATACGAAGACATTCCATCATTACTAGCACTATCAGTTTGCAAAATAAAGCCAAAAACGTCTTCAGAATGCGATTCAAACAAAACTACAACACAATACATTTCAACGCTCGTGCGTTCCCGTGCGCGATAATCAGGAAAATTGCTCTAAAAGATTTGTTTTTCTGCCTAAGCCAATCAAAATCCGTATCTAGGGTAAACAAACACTCCGGAAGTGATTCCTGCAGTCTTTTACCAGGAAACTGTAATAGGCCGTGGGCTGTAATGTGAAAAATGGCTTTAAAAAACAGTTTCGTGACCCCCATCTAGGAAATACCTCTTCTATCTTTTTATATGTAGATATACATGTAATTGATTACCAAAAAAAGTTCCCAAGAGAAATACCTGCCCATTCTCGAGAAATCTTTATCCAAAGTCTTCGAAATCGAAGCTTAATATTTTGGCCGCCATCTTGAATAATGGAATTCTGAGTGATGGTATTTAGCGAAATTTACTCTCTCCAGTCTTTTTCCACACGGTTCCGCCCGATATAAGGGAAAATTCGGGCTGGATGCAGGCTAGCTGCTTTTCCCGCGAAAATTTATAATTTAAAAAACACAAAAAAATGTCGGCACTGAACAAGAAAAACAACAATGAATGTTTGATTCATTTTGCCAGAACAAAGGATAGTTTGTGTGCATTTTCTAAAAAAAGGTTTGAAACCTTTCTGTGTCGTCGTGAGGAATGGCTTCAGTTTGAAGAAGCTGCTTCGGTAATAGCGAGAAATTCGCTTCAAGTCTGCCGTCAAGACGAAAGCTCTGAAAATTGTGAGCAATATTTTTTTCATCAAAAATGTTATAATTCATTCACGGACATTTCGAAAATTAAAAGAGCTCGACAACAACAAAAGGTAGTCAATTATGATGCGGAGAAAGAAAAATCCAGCGAAGAAGTCGAGGAACCTCAATCGCCAAAACCAAAACGACGGAGTCGAGTGTCAGGACAACAAGGTTCAAACAGAAATGTACTTCCAGATGTCTGCATTATTTGTAAAAGGAAAACATCTTATATCAGGGACAAGGTAAGTTTCTCGCCACTTTTTACTGGTTTTTTTTTCAGTTTATAGTACTAGGCCTATCTAGCTAGGCTTTCTAGCGTGACTGTCCATCATAAATATTTGTTTTGCGCAAATGTTATTAGAAATCCAGGAAAACTACCCGAGACAAAATGCACCAAGCTGAAACAATCGACTGTGGCTGTCTTCGGGAAGCTGCTGAAAGGAAGAAAGACGAAGCAATTTTGATTCACATTCGTGGGAAAGATTGTGTGGCAATAGAAGTTAAATATCATAATTGGTAATTTTAAAATATGAAGTACAAGGCTAATTAACACTTGTGTAGTGACCTGTGGTGATAAAACTGCGTATTAAAATTAATTTAAAGTAACAGCAGGTCGATG